AGTAAGAAGAAAGATTGAACAAAAATATGATAAAAACATTTGACTTTTAGGAAATAAATGTAGGAGGAAATCTATTTGTTTACATTTTTAGCATTGAATATTTTCAAATGAAAAAAAAAAAAAAAAAAAAAAAAAGGTAATATGACAAACAATATGACATTCCATGTCAGAAATCTATTTTGCATTTTAGCATAAAATGTTTTTAAATGAAATAAAAAAAAGGAAATATGATATGATGTCAGAAATCTATTTGTTTCAGTTCAAAAATAATTTTTAAGATGTTTCAGTTTCAGAGTTATCTAAAAAAAAAAAAAAAAAAAAAAAAAAATCAGTTATCAAAATGATGTCTAAAAAAATACTTGTAAAAATAAATGAAATCAACAAAATGAAATAGGAAGTAAAAATTTTTAAAAAGTAGCCAGTTTTGTTTTAATGTCAGATTTTTTTAAATTATTATTTTATTTTTTTGACTTTATAAACTGACTGTCTTTTCAGGAGATTTATCTCACCTATATCATTTTCTCTCCCAAATGTGTTATCCAAAGACACACAAACTAAGCAAAATATAGATATTTATGCAATGATTTCTTTTCTAAATTGTTAATAAATATGGTATTTATTTATAGTTGACAATTTATTTGAAAGTTTAATGATTAAACTTTAATCCAAGTCATGAATTCTATGATTAAATTATATTTAGAGTCTAAAAAATGACTTTAGGTGAATAATCCCTACTTTTTTACCCACCCTTCTTTCAGCAAAGCTGGACTTGTTATCATTGAGCAGAGATGTAGGCTGAAACCTACTCACACTGAGAAACTGGTTTTTCTCAATTACAACCTAAGACAACGAGGAAAAACATTCACTCTTTACAAAATTAAATTTTTTATCTATTGAATAATTTTAACAATATTTAATTTTCATCTTATGCTGAGTGTTTCCTTAATTTGTTTGTCCAAATAAATTTTACAGTTGTTATGCACTTCTCTGGGGTTAAAGAATTAGCCAGTCACAAAGTTGACCCCCATCATGAAATAGTGGCATAATTCAACTAAATGTTGAATCATCATCACACAAGAGAATGAATGGCTTCCTTAGAAAAATGCTAAATTAAAAACCGAAAATGAACCTGAAATCAAGGTATTATGGATAAAAAAAAAAAATTGATACTGAAACCAAATTTTTCAAACTGCCCAACTCTAACAGCAACAAAGTGGGATTCATTAGCCACACTGAAGCTAAATTTAAACATCCCTAATACTTGCCTATGATGTCATATTTTTTCAAGCAGAAATGTAAGTTCTAATTTTCTGTCAAAAATGTGAAAGTTGAAAAGCAAACTGACTTCATCCTTGTTGAAGATTAAGGCCTGCATGTATACAATTTATGGACACTGACTGAAAGAGTGAGAGATCCAAATATTATTATATTATATTCCAAACATCCATTTAGCCCAACACCTACTTTATAGCTGAATGTTTATATCTTTTGCAATACAGATAATTGAATGAATCCATCAACAAATTCATGACCAGACTAAAGCTGAAGGAGCAATTGATTGAACAGCTCATTATTGGAACAATGCTGGTATGAAAAAAGGGCTGCTGACCAAGGATGAAAACCTCACATTTGATCATACAGTTGACATGGCAAGAGTACAAGCGACAACCATCAACAACTGGGTTCATCTACAAGAAGAACAAAGTCCTCAAGTAAAAGACATGCACCAAGTCAAGAAATGGCAACCAGTCAAGTACTGTGCTACACACCACCTACTATGCCACTGCCTAGCTTCAGTAGCATGTGTGAAAATTGTGGGAAGAAAGTATGTCAGCAAGGCACAAAACAACAGTAACTTGACAATGGTAGCAGCCTAAGCTAGGGTACAGGGAATTGACATGGCCAGTCAAAATTAAATGCCAGACCCTGTGCTACATACAAAGTTTAACAATCTGTAAATGAAATGATAAACCTTGACAAAAGCTTCCAAGATCTGTTTGATTCTGTAATCATTAGTGCAGTCAATGAAAGAGACATGAGATATGAAATATTTGCCAAAATCAATATTAAGCAAAATAGCAGACCACAAGCAGTATTTCTAAAAGCCAAAATTGGTACTGTAGCATATATTTTGGTGCATGTTCCCAAAGAAGAATGATGACAGTAAAATCAGTACTGGAGCACAAGGTAATTTATTAGCCTAGCCCATTTTTTGGTGTATGTTCCCAAAGAATGATGACAGAGGAAACCCATTGCCACATTCTACCAAGCTGTTCTCAGCCAACCTAATGACATACAACACAAAAATGACCTAATATGTTATCGCAGTCCTATGCAGCTTTAATGGAAAAGGTTGATCTACTGACTTCTTTGTATCTGGTTCAGAAGGTGCTGCCATTATTGGATTGCCTACATAGCATCAACTCAAAACCGGCAATCCTAAATTATGAAGATAAAACCCCTACAACTGTTCTAGGTATGTTGAAGATTTGGTTTCAAACTACCCAGATTTCAGGACATTGGTCACTTGATATTGTCACAATGCTGTTGATCCAAATGTATGAAGATGCCCTACTCACCTCAAAGACAAAATAAAAGCTGAACTTGATGAAATGGAAAGTCTCTAGGTCATAATCAAAATGGCAGAACTGACAGATTGGATGCCAAGCCTAATCTACAGCCGCAATTCCAAAAGAAAGAAGAAATCACCCACAATATTTCAGAAGCAAGCGTATTTTCCAAACTGGACGCAAAGCATGTTAGTCCATCGATCTAAGTAAGCTTGCAACATTTAACAGCCTATTTGGCAGATATAAGTTTCTGAGATTGTCATTTGAATTCAATCTAAGCCAAGATGTCTTTCAGCAAATTATGTACATGGTCATTGAACACTGCTCAAACACAGTTGGTATCTCTGACGAAATTAGTGTTCAGTAAAACAAAAGATCATGATGTCAACCTGCACAATCTCATGACAACAGTACATCAACATGGACTAGCATTTAATCAAAATGTGAGATACTGAGATACCTAAAGATGATAAACAATTCTAAGAATTTCATGGGGTAGCAACCTCCATAGGATCATTTACACTACTTCAAAGACTTAATGTGCAGTGAAGTCATGCCTATAACATTAACCCAAGACATGACTATTTTAAGAGTTAACACATCTGCAAAGTGACTTTGAGACATAGTACTTCAAAATGAAAAACCCATTGCTTTCACAACAAAATCACTGAGTGAGACTGAACAGTATTATGCGAACATTAAAAGGGAAATGCTTGTCATTGTGTTTGGATGTAAATTTTTTCTGCATGTACTTATAAAGCAAATTTCATAGTAGAATCTGTCCATAAACCTTGGAACCTTCTTAGTCATATCTGATAGTACAAAGAAACCACAAACTTTTGCCATGTAATGTTTAAATCCAATTCAAGTGTGACTAGATACATTGAGAAAATTAAGTTGCATTAAAAACATTTTTCTTTCAATATTTGTAGAAACAAAGAGTTACTACTCACCTACCCATCATAGTTATTTCAGGTAACAAAATATCTGTGTTTTTTCTAAACTGGATCCTTGAAAGGTAGAACATTAATAAGATTATCACAATTTTTGATAATCAGCAGAGAAAAAAAAAAAAAGTAAAATTGTGCATGTCATTCTTAACAAATCCATTTATTATTTGAATATAGCAGTAATCACATGCATATCCAATGAGATGAAACATATCAGCCCTGGGGTGGAGGAGGAATTTTTCTCTGCTACTGCAAGATGAAAAGATTTCAAAAAGATTCTGGTTTAATTTTCACATTTGTCTTTTTCATATTCAGAATCAAAAATAGAGTAGCAGATTTTCTTTTGTTATTTCAGAAAAACATTTATTGATAATGCAGCAGAAATTGTGTAGGTCTTGCTTCTTACCAAAAGGGAGTTTGAGTTTACCTGAATGTGCCATAAGTCTGGTCTGAAGCCATTCTTAGTATAATCCTACAAGGAGGGCAGTTAATGAACCTGTGTTCAGCTGAAATTTGTCCCTCATGGAAGATGCTGCCAATCAAAATAGAAATCAAATCCATTCACAGACACACAATTTATCGCTTTCTCTGCAGTGACTGCCATTTCATGGGTGCCACCTAGCTGCACAAGAAACAACTACAAACACTCTGGCTGTCAGACTTGTATTAAAGACAGCATTCACATACACAGAAAAATTGAGCAGAAAGCAAGCAACTTAATGTTGGTTTTAGAAGTTAGGGAAAGAAGAGGAAGAACATGTTGTCTATTGTGAAAGGTATAAATAAATTAAAAAAAAAAAAAAAAAAAATATGTATCTCAAAAGAGAATGACAATGAAGGACCAATAAAGTTTTGGTCACCTGTCTTTTACTTTGTTATGCACACATTATGATGCCTCAGAGGCTGATATACACAACTTCATAGCGGCCAGAAAGAGTTTGAACAGGCAAGAGATTTAAAAGTAGCTTCAGTGGTGGTTTTGAAAGAGTTGATTAATGCAGTCAAACTACAAAGAAGAGGAAGAAGAAAGTTTGAATGAGAATATTCGAATGAGTCACATATTAGTGATTACCAGGGTGAATAATCAATATCAAATAATGTTCAGAGTCAAATTAGTGTTTTACTTTAATCCCCCCAACCCTATTTTTATTCACATTATTTTTAACCCCTGCATTCTGGCTTTCATTTTGAACTAGGAGGAAATAAAGGGCCTCTTCTGGTGAGATGTTAAAAATGGCAGTAGAGAATGTCTCCAGCTTTCATCTTTAAAAAGTCTGTTTATCCAGCTATTTCAAAATGGTTGACATATTCAGTTGATGATGATGATTAGGATGATGACGATGATCGTGAAAATGAATGAGGAGAAATTCAATAAGAATTTGCAGAGAATTGCTGAACATTGGGTAGTGATGATGATGGTTGTGGGACTGCATTTAGCCCCCACACCCCATGCTTAGAAATAAAAAAGCAGCAAATCATTTCAAAAATTATCTTTTAAAGAGTTGATATGAGCGCAAATCTTGAGGGCAGGTCCAAGTTTCATGTTCATAGCAGTCATTAAATGGTCTTCTTTCAATAGAAGCAATGCTTGACCATCAATTTCTTGAGAGCGAAATTCTTCAGCATATGCAGTGCAACCTGTCATTGATTTGATAAAATCAAACACCTTCTGAACCTGAAAAAGTTAAAATAAAAACAAAGCTTATAAGTGTGTTTTATTTAAGTATTTGCTTATAACTCATTTTTTATCTTTTTAAGAAAGCCATTTTATTTTAAAGAAACCATGAGGATACAGAGATAGAAAATTATAGGCTATATTGAAATAAAATAAACAAGAGCTTCTTAGAAATATTAGTGTAATAATTAAATAAGATGACAAGTTAAATTTCACAAAGCCCTGCTAGTAAGTGTGATTTCCACTGGATGCCTCAATATTGTGATTGTGCCAGACTTAACTTATTCAACAAATTGTTTTAATTATTATGAAAACTTGTCTAAAATCCTGCTTACTGTAACCACCAAAGTGATCATTTTCAATCAAAAAGCATTCCATTAGAATATGCTTAAAAATGATATTGTGTCAAAAAACAAAATTTATCCTTTGCAAATACATAGCAAATACAATTTATGAAGATGAAGAGAAAAAAGTGAAAACAATTTCACATTGCACAAACTTTAAAATTACTATTTACTCCATAATTATTTAAAAAATTGAGTTTTAAATGCAATTATGCTGAAGATACAAAGTTGATAAATATAACTTTAGGTAAGGAAAAACAAAGCAAAATAAGACAAATGAACTTCAGGTTAGTTGTACAAAAACAAATACTAATACAGAAAAATGTGGTAACTGGGGAAAGTTGAAATAATAATAATAAAAATAATAATAAACAATACAACTTCAAATAAATATAATAATCCTAACATATATAAATGAAATAAAATAAATAATTGCAAATTATATTAAATTATATTACTTTTAAGCAATATTTACACTTTTTAGTTAAATTTAAAATATGTCTATGAGATAAACATTTAAAATATGTTTGAGACAAAATGAGTCATTATTTCTTGAGTTCAGAACGCAAATCATTTTCATCAATCTCTTTCATTTTTTTATCAATTAATAGTTTAGGTGTTAATACTATCAAATTGGCAGTATAAATTATTTTATTGTATGTTAAGTAACCACTTTGAGTATTTTAAGCTTAAATCCTAATTTATATTTTAATTTTTTGTTTCTGCTATCATTTTCTAAAATTAACAAAATATTCAATATTTGTATTTGTTTATATATGTACCATTTTATAATTCATCTTGCTTTCTAGTGTTTTTGTTTATCTAACTGTTTATATATTTGGAAAAAAAAAAAAAAAAAAAAAAAAAACACTTTTTTGAGCTTCTAAAACAATATATATGTTTATATAAGGACGTTAAAGGTTGTTAGTCAAGGGAGATAATGGGGACAATCTTCACTGTATATAAAATGCTTCTGTAACATGCATCTCAAATACCCTGTGACAACTAAGTTCAGCTCCAAGCTGGAGAATGGGAAAAGGCAGAAAAGGAATGCCTAGTAACCAGCTGCTTCAGGTAGATAGAGCTCAAAAGCCCAGGGAAGCAGTCCATCTAGGGGAAGGAAAACTGATTTTAAACCTCCACTGCCTCGCTGTCATATCCAAACACAGAAAAAGCTATGGAAATAAATCCAGATAGAAAACCCAGAGTGGAGCTCACTGACAACTTTCTGGCAACTCCTGCAGCCAAACCATCTCCAAATGTAATGCCCTATATTCCCTATATTTCCATCAGTGCGGCCGGGGAGGGGGTGCATGTAGTCTTTGCCCTGAAGTGGTTATTCCAGTTTCAACACCAAAGGACTGAATTTTAACCAGTTATCTCATGAGATACTGATGCTGATGATATTAATCTTTACACAAAGCCTTTTGCTCATTTCTTTCCCGATTGGAGAAAATTAACCATACTCTAGGGTTATCAGTGTTGGTCACAATGGAATATAAATCCAAAAAATAGTTCTATTTCAGATTATTATTCTGTTAACATCATGCGCTTGTACCAGACACCAGTCAAATGCTTTGTGAAGGAACAATAAGTAAAAGATAAATTTTAATTTAAAAAGCCCAACGGCTTAACAAAACAATTTAATGAAGAATACAGCAAGAATATTCACACTTACTGTCCATTTTGCAGGATGTGTAGTTGGCGAGTCTCTGCCCACATCATATTCTGTAGGCTGAGCTGGAGATGTAGGTGAGCTGCTGCTTTCATGGCTGCTATGAGAACTGCTTTGCTCTTCTGGGGGCAGCTGGTCAACAAAAATAAAAACAATCAGCACAGAATTTGTTCAACAAAATTAAGAAACATATTTCTTTGGAGAAAATTTTTTCAATTGTCTACTACAAAAAAAAAGAAAAAAAAAAAAGAAAAAAAAGCTGAAGTTGAATTCCTTTGTATTTCATACAAAGATCTGCTGTGAGAAATGTTAGAACAAAGTCTTTCGCAACATTTATTTCTTGTTTCAATTTTTATTTAATTTAATAAAGTAGGAATTGTTAATATTGTTTTAATATATGGTATAATAAAAACTGTTTCTAAATAAAGAATAATCATATTTCTCACCCGAGATGGAATTTTGTAAGAGTGTCTACCAACACGTCCAGGACGCCATGTTTTGCGTACTTTTAATGCAGCTTTCCTTCGTTTCACATATTTCGGACCAGAACCTTCAAACAGAAAAAGTTTCCTTTAAGGAGATAATTTATAAGTAAACTTGTTCAATGATTTTAGACAAAAAAGACATCAAGTATCAAGTGTGTGGTTTTTAAGGATTTATTAAAAAGTAAGAAACACACACAAAAAAAATAATTCAATGTGAGAGAAAAAAAGTTCTGCTCATAATTTTATTGAATGATATTTTATTTCCTTAAATTTACATTGATTCTGCCACATGTTTTTATTGGAATCTCTTTTTGCACAAGAACGATCCAAAAGTAACGTCTTCAATATATTTATACAGAAACTACAACAGCTACAAAAAGTATTGCACTATTGGACAGTGCAAGTTTTGTGTGTCAGTTTTTCTGCATGGAAAAATTCAATGATGCACCTCTGCTTGATACATACTTATGCCATTTTACCACTCTGCTGCTATATGTAACAAAGTAAGAAAAATTATGGCTTACTGGTTGGAGGGTTCAACCTCTACTGCCATGTCACCTAAACCTGTCTTATTCCACAGGCCAAAATTTTTGGGGCAACTCAGACATCTCCAAGATATGAATTACTGGCCACCAGTAGAAGGATGATAGTCATGCAACAAGCAGTCATTTTATTCTACTGGTTTCCAGAGTTTTGCAAATAACATTGGAGCAGGATTCTTGACTGGCTATTTTATAATTGGCTCTCAATTAAAAAAGAAAATCATTTGGAAGAGACATTTTCATTTTGTAATATTCTAATTTGAAGAACACGTAATCACCATCTTCTGAAATAATAGAAGAGATAATTCTCTTCAAATTTATTTTTGCCATATTCTCAATAGATTTGATGATTGATGATTCTGTTCAAGAAACAACACTTGTTTCTTGCATTTAATTATTAGACACTTTTATTCTCTCTCACTTTGTAATCATCCTGATAATGTTTAAAACTCAGCACATAAGCATCTACTTTACTGCCAGGCACATAAGAATGTTTATTGTCTTTTTTATGAATGTTGTTAAATATCAACATTTCTTCTAAAAGCTGTAAACAAATAGTGAAATTAAGAAAATAGGTTCATTTTTGAAAGAAGAGGATTTCTGAAATGTCATTGCTAAGCTGTATTTCTAACTTATGCAGGATGGTTGAAGAAAGAGAGAGAAAGTAAGAATAAAGTTGACAATAAAAAATCAAATTGGACCTGATAAACTTTTCTTGTATTTCTTTTAAAAAGGATTTAAAAAAAGGAAGCAGTTAGATGAAATTTCACTGGAAATTTGATACTCATTTGTTGTTGCATGAAGAAAGAGTTAACTTTATGGTAGTGCTTAAGATTGTGAATACAATATGAAATTTGAATGAAATTTTGCTTTCTTTTTCATTTTTAAACAAAATCAAATAAGAAAAAACTGAAATTTGATATAAATACTAAAAGAAAATTGATGTTATGGCTGGGTTGATTTGTTTTAAACTAACTTTTTAAAAAAATCTTAGAAGTCATCAACAAAGCAAGAAGCAATAATGATTTTCTTTTAATTGTAGCTATAATTAATACATCTATCAATATGGTAAAAAAAGAAAGCAGGAAAAAAAAAAAAAAAATGAGAAAAAATCGAGACAAAAATTATGTGATGGAACAGTAATTACCTGAACTCATTCTCTTGTCCACATTTGAAGAACCAAGAAGACCTGAAAAATATGAATGTTCACTGAAGCACATTGCAATGAATTAGTTATGGAAATTCAGAGATAAGTTTTGTTTTGTTTCTTTCAAATAGAGACATGGTCTCCTCTTCTTCCTTGCTGCCAAAGAGAATTTCTGTAATACTTAATGATCAGTTTTTGAGAGGAAAAATATCTACTCAAATTAAACAAAATGATGAAACCAAGCATAAAAAACTGACTTGAATAAAATAAAAAAAAAATTAACAAAATATTGAATACAAAACATTATTTTCATAAGTACAGATAGTGATACTTTATGAATCAACCAGGGGTGTATATAAAGTTGATTATCCCCACTCTCAAAATGAGAAAATCAAAGGAAAAATAAAAAAAGGGTTAAAAGTAAGAAGGAAAAAGAAAATATTTTGTAATATTGTGTAAGCTGATTAAAGTAGGGATACAGGATAACAGATTAAAAATGGATTCATTGGGACAGGGGAGCAAACACCATCTGGCTCATACTTCAAGGAATTTGAGGGAACAAGGTTAAGAGTCTAGCTTAAAGCTAAAATTGGCTATATTGTTAAATAGTTAATTTGCTGTTACAGTATAAGTATATACAAACTCTTATCAAGGATGCCAAATGTAAATTTCAAAAGTCTTGGAAGAGAGGAAATATGATGAGGAAAGAAAAAAAATGGTGAATTGGTGCAGATGGAAAAGGAGGTAGGGAAATAAAGTTGTGCCAATTATATACACTCCTGGAATTTTAATTCTATTTTGGCTAAATATGTAACGGATTTGTAAATAACCAGTTTATATTTGAATTAAAAATAGAATAAAAATCTGTTAAAAACAGCAATAGAAATCTTTAAGTACATAATTAAATGTGAGTTTTTAATTTTTTTGGTCTTTGTGTTTTGTGCTTAAAATTCACTAACAATTCACCAGCACATCATCTTAAAATGATAAAAAACTAAAACTCAGAAAACTGAATTTTCAATGCAAAAAATAAAGTACAAAGTCAAAGATTCTTTGATTAAAACAAAATTAGAGAAATGATTTTGTTTCAAATTTAAATCAGAAAAGCAAATCAGTCTGAAGGGAAAATATTTTAAGTTAAAAAGCTGATTTATGATAAATTTCTTAGAATATTTAAACATTATACTTCAACATGCAATGAAACTAAGAGTATTTTCTTCCAGTTGATTTTGTTTATTTAAGAGGTTAAAAATGCATGCTTATAGCATAAGCTGTTTATATAAATTTTATGTAATTAACTTATGGAATTGTATGAAAGATGTATTATTTTAGAATCTCTGGACATGAAAAGAAACAGAAAATAGTGAAGAAAAAGCCATCAAACAACCCATGTGGAATGACATGCCAACCAAATTTTACCTTCAAGAAGCTATCATAGAAGAGAAGAATAATTTTCTTTCATTTTTAAAATTGTAGTTGATTATGCATATTAATGTGTGAACTCTAGAAGGAGGAGTCAGGTGATATGACAATGGCATGAAATGATAAATTCATGACAATGGAAAGAGAGAAATGAAAATTAAAACAGTCAATACATTTGGAAAAGAAAAAAACAAAGAAAATTGTAGCCAAAGCTTGACAGACTAAGCAAAAGAAAGAAACATTTTCTATTTATCAACAATAAGGATCCTTTTATTTCCAAATACAGTCAAGTTACTAATGTTATCATTTAAATTGAGAAATGAGGAGGAGGCAGATGAATATACTGCTTGAATATTTACTTCTTATATTATTAACATAATTCAGAAAATAATTTCCTCTCAATTTAAACAGAGAAAATAAAAATAGTTTCAAGAAAAATTCTTGCTAATAAACAAAAGTTGAGAACACAAACAAGAGAAATTAAAGAGGGTCTATGATTTTTAATTTTTTAACTGTTTATCATAATTTTACCAAGGCAAAAGAAATTATTGGTGAAATTGACCTTAAACCAAAAAGAAGGCCTTTAACACAATAAAAAATCATAACCTAGGCCAGACACAATTATAGGTGCTACTCCCTGTTTGTTATCTTAGCCATTTGATCAGATTGTCTTTTGATAATTGTCATTTTTGCTTCACAAAGATACTTCTATATGTTTTCATGCTTGACTTTCTGTTTTGTACAAATTCCTAAATATTTTTATTTCAATGAGTACAATGCAGAATAGATACATAAATACATTCAAATATCACAAACATCCTCTTTTGTTTGGTCAAATTTTATTGTTTACAAGAATGTTTCTCGGAATCATTTCAACTTCTTTGGTTGCATAACTTATTAGAATTGAAAGTATGAAAATATTTATTAATGAATGAAAATAATTTTGTAAACCCTGCCAAAAAAATAATTGCCGCCCACTTTCTAGTTTTAAAAAAAATTATGGTAACAATCTTTTATCTGATCACTAATTTGGGAGAGAAAAACCCCCCAAAAAGTAATTGTTTCTAAAAATTAAACTTCAGGTATTTAGCAAAGTAAAAAGAAGAGCAATAAAGATGAGATTGTTTGAACAACTTGAGTAAGAAAGCAGCATCCAAATGTGATGGAAGATGAGGTGAAAACGGTTTTTCTCATGCACACTCAACACATTTCAAAATCTAGGATGTGCATCATGGGAATGGTAGAAAGAAGCAAGCTGATAGAAATGTGAGTGGGAGAAAATTGTGCCAGTTGTTTGAAATTATCAGAGAGAATGATGAAGGAAGGAAGGAAGGAAGGAAAGACACACACACAAAAAAAAAAAAAAAAAAAAAAAAAGGTAAGTTTTCCCTCTTCTCACTTTCAGTTGGTTTCTCTCTCGAAAAAAAAAAAAAAAAAAAAAAAAAAAAAAATCTAATACCAGAAAGTTATTGAAGTACTGATCAGTGCATCAAGGGTTTGGACCAAAGAAGAAATTAAAGAGTATTCCCTTCAAGAGATTGAAAGAATTTCTTTTTCAAGCAGAGACCAAATGAGAAATATTTGAAAAGGTAATGCACCAATTTTAATCTTAATGAGATTATATATACAATAAATATACTAACAATGGAAGTGAAAACTTTCTCAGTGAATACTTTCAGCCCATAAAAATGCCTATGTAGATTAAAAACTTTTCATACTCTCTTTTGAAAAAAAAAAAAAAAAAAAAAAATTTCTGACACCACACACACACATATATATATATATATATATATATATATATATATATATATATATATATATATATATATATATTTAGTCATTGATTTGCTATCATTCCATTTGTGTATGATTGAACAGACTAAAATTTGGCATATAAATACAAAATCCATAGACTTAAAAAGTAATGAGATGAAAAAATGGTGAAAATTCCAAGTACAAATCTGTGATCTTTATTTTGTGTAATTGACAAAGAACTGGATTTCTGTAAACCAAGGAGTGACTATCATAGGAGGATTGAACAGAGGATTGAATGATGCCACTTTGGTGATGTAAAGATCATCAATTGTGTCTTAAATAATTCTTCTCCTAACAATGCTCAAAACATTTTCTATTCTATGGCAGCTTCTATACAGAAATTAGAACCAACATTTTGCAGCTGACATTCTTGTAAATCAATAAGGCATGGAAACTACTTTTCTTGCACATTAATACCAAGTTATTTACAGAGGTTTTCAGAGGGGTAGAAGACAATTTTGCTGGGTTTTATTTTTTTTGATCATCAGCAATACCTGCATTTGTGAGATTAACACCTATTTAGAAAAGAACAAAGTAGCAAGCCTATAAGACTAGTCGCATCAAAGCCAAGATATCTACTCTGTAGCTTCAGTTAATAAATCTACTAAAAAAAATTGAATTGTACCAAAACTGAATAAGATTTCTTGAATTCATTTTAGCAGATGTTGAGCAAAGTAAATGGAATATTTCTACCCCAAGTGAATCACTGTTAAATCTCTCTGGCATTAATGGGAAATTTGAATGAAAACCACATGAGAGTTGTCCCTTCACAATTTGATTATGTTTCAATTCCAGTGACAACATAATTCAATGAATTGCTTAAGAAAATACAAGTTAAATTTCATAAAGAATTTTAAAAGAAATGGAAGTCAAAATTACAATGCATTGATTTCAATTATATATTTTTTCTCTTTAATTGTTGAGTTGCCAAACAGAATGACCTACACGAAAGTCTGCACACTAACAAAGAAATAGTCGAACAAAATGACAGGGAAAGATTTGGTCCTTGTGGTTTGGATAGAGAAAACTCTTACTTTTGGGCTTGAATAGGGCAAGCCTTCGTGTACACCCGACATTATAACGCTTGGCACAAGCCATAGAACAAAAGCGTTTGGAGCGGCGAAACTTAGACTCCACGTCAACTTTCCCACAGAATTCGCACTTCAATGTCGAATCTGGTTCTGGTGGATGGTCTGGAAAACCAAGAGGAACCAGGAATGATGGAGACAAGAAGACAACATCTCACATGACAAGCTCAGGTGCACACTCAGACATGCACACACACACACACACACACACTGAAGAGACATGGCAGCAGCAGTAAATGGGAATGTTTGTTGCTCACACAAACAAACAACCACCAGCAAAAAAATGTAGGAATAAAAAATAAAAAAAGGTAAGCAATCACATTCTCACTTCTAAATTACAGCAACACAACAAAAGCAAAATAAAAATTATACAGTGAAATGGAAAGCACTTATTTAGAAAGCATTTATATATAAACTATTTTTTGTACACTTTGTTAGAAATTTACTTTAAAAGTAGAAAAATACATTTTCATTTTTCTTAACATTAAAATTAGAAAACAAAGTTTGTTTTCATTGAGAAAAGAAAACTTCTCATTTGTCTTTGTTAAGAAAGAATAAATATCAAAAAGTTTCAAATATGCATTCAAGTGGATAAGTAAAACTACTGGGATAAAGAGATTTAATTGACATATTTTGCTATTCCATAAGAAAAGCAAAAATGCTAAGAGGTGAAGTGAGTGAATTTGGCATAAAGTAAAAGATAACTATCCCAGATCAAAAGGATTAGCATTTTTCATTTGAACAGTGAAAGAATTTATAGTAAATAAAAGCATCAAATCTGCCAAAAAGGTTTATCATTCATTTAAATAAATTGTTTACCTATTATTTATTATTAATTAATATTATATTTTCGAAGGAAAAATAGAACTAGGAAGATTGTTCTGCACCAATCTTCCAAGTGGTGGTGGTGAGGGTTGAACTTGTCTACTTAGAAAATCAGTATTTGAGATCCTGTCTTATTACCTGTGTTCAAACCTTGACCACTGGCACAAATGGAAATACACAACTATCTCAGCCACCAAACAGGCTCTTGTCAGTGACTATCATTCATATCAAGCTTTTATCAATAATTAATTATTATTAACCCTTTCAACCCCGAAGAAATCACCTGACATTTCGATGGAATAGACATTAGGTATGTAATATGCACGTCTGATATTTGAAATCATTGTGTAAAAAAAGATGGTTGAATGGGTTAAAAGCTTTTTAAAGAAATCACTGACTTATTATTTTGTCACAAAACACTAATAGGAGTAATATTAAGTGAAACACTGAAGAAATTTCTCAAATCAGAGTCAAATGCAAGTTTAAGGATATCAAGAAATCTATCTCGATTTGTTCCCCTACAAAAGACATGCAAAATACAGTGTGTCAGAAAAGAAAAATTGAAACTGGAATTCTGATGCATTTTTGAAACTGAAGCAGAACACATAAGCTACTGAATGTTAAAAACTTGAGATATAGTGACAAACAAACAAATTATGCATAATTAACACAACAATCTGTAAACACTTGTAATGAGCATCTTGACAATCAACTAACACACTTGCTGGCATCTAAAACCTAACATCTAGCAAACTTTTTGACAGGGTACATTTATTTCAACTCCAACATTAAAACGTATGATAAAGTGAACAAGGAGAATTATTGAACTATTAATCTCATCTTTATTGGTTTTTATCACAATGTTATGTTTGGTGTCTTAGTTCCAGTGTCAAAGGGGAAAAGAACCTGAAATCACACAAGGTTTAACAATTCAAAATTATTTTCATGACAGCTACTTTAGGGTGATCATTGCTACAGAAACATGGTCAAAGAGTTGATTTTTATCAAATGGCCAGTGTGTATGAAAGGGGGATCTTTACAGTCTTACAATTTTATTAAATATTTATGAACTAGAATTCTTAGAAAGCAAGTTTTTCTGTGTGTGTGTGTAGAGACAAAGAAGATTAGAAGCACACCATCATTGACATGATGACAAAACCAAAAAGATAAGAATGCCAGGTGAAAGATATTTAGCAAACAGTGGCTTGCAATGATGGCATTTCTCTAAGAAATAAAAGAATTTAAATGGAGGTGAAATTTCAAGTCAAAGCTTTGTTTCTACAACTACAACTGAGCCACAACAAAAAACAGGACATGCAACAAGCAGAACAAAAATGATGAAACTGAAAAATGAAATGAATTATTTAAATGAACTTTTTCAATGTGAGTGCAATTGTCTGAGAAAGTAAATGTATGCAATATCAAAATTGCTCAATCTCAATTTGAGATCTTAAAATGTTATAAACAAAATCAAATGAATAAGTTAAAATTATATCAGGAATTATATTAATACTTTCAAATGTGATTAGAACAATGGCTTTATATGTCAAGTTTTAATTCCAGGCCACTATAAATTGTACATCTTTTTAAAAAATAGTAATAAAAAAATTAAGATAATTAACATGCTTATAAAAGGGGTTTGTTAATAAGTAAGGTCTCCTACGAGATGGCATTGCTAATAGTAGAGACAGAAGAAATGCTTGAACTTACATTTGGTAGTAGATAAAATCCTGTTCAAACACTTAGGGTCAGTTTGCTGTATGACTATTTAGTAATAGCATTTGTTAGTTAGGAATACTATATCTGAGTTACATGTGGTGATCAGGAAGCCATTTGCATGAAATTTCTGCCAAAGTGAATGACAATTAAGTAAGGTATTGTGAAACATTTCAAGCACTTAATGCTTCTGTAAAATAAAGACCAAAACGAGAATTTTTTTGCTTCATGGCAACACAAGGCCACATTTCACTCAAAAAAAATAGAGATAAGCCTGATATTTACAATTGTTGCACACCATCCATACAGCCACAATTTGACAGTTTGGTTATTCCCAAAATTGAAAGATGTGTTGAAAGGTTAACTTTTTTCATCAGATGCTGAAGTTGAAGATGTTGTGTACAATTGGATCAAAAGTAAACTAGAAACTTTTTTCGTGAAGGAAATGAAAAATGGATAAAAAGTTTGGAAAAATATCCAGCACTAAATAGTGACCATACTGAAAAATAAACTTATTTTGAAGAGAAATAAATTAACTTCATTTTTATACTAGTTTCATTATTCTATGTTATCTAAAATTTGTTTTATAGGATTAGAGACCTTATTTATCAATCAACCCACACAGTTAACATTTGAAGAGATTTATATTAATGCAAAAATAAAATAAATCTACAAATCTAATAATTAAATTAAAAAAGGGAAATATTCTTTTATTGAAAAATTCTCATTATTTAATGAAAACAAATTACGTTTTTAATAAAACTTGCTGGCAAAGCTGATCAAAATGTGACAAAAGTAGATTATGGAAGAAAAGTGATGGTCAGGAATAGATAAAGAGCTGAAAATTATTTACTTAAACAATTTCTAAGTCTAAAATGATGTGAAAAATATAGAAATTAATATTTATTAAAAAGAAAAAAAGAGGAGAAAAGTATAATTTTAGAAGAGAATATCATTGAAAGTTTTAAAATAAGATCTCTACAGCAACTCCCAAAGGTTTGATAATCTGTTCTTAAAATAAATTAGAAAATGATTAATTTTGTTCAATCATTATTTGCTTTACGTCACATTCAAATGTACAAAACTGTCAAGGCAAATTACTGTCTTGTTCAACAAGTACATGTCTAATAAAGAATTTGCATCAAAAGCCTCAAATTTGTTAATGCTGATATAATAAACAGCCAAAGACAATAATTAAGTTAGTTTTATCAAATTCAATTAGTTTTTTATTAGACAATATCAAACTCTCAAATCATAAGGGAAAATATTGAGTTGTTTTGATTTTTATATTTTAGTGATTCTGGAATTTTATTTGAGACCTAAGGAAATAAGAAGTAAAAAATGCATAATTTACATACAGATCTGAAATAAAACAGGAATAAGGAAAATGAATATATTTGCATATAGGAAGTGATAGCACATCTTCGACCAACAAAACATGTAACAAAGTGAATTTAATACTAGAAAGATGTGTCAGGTCTCAATGTTGTGCTGGAAAGTGTTCTATAGGATGTTCTTTAGTTTGGTCAGCAGGAACACAAAGGACAGTGCTCCTCAATTGAAACATCAATTGTTTACCTACTCAGAAGTGCAGGATAGAATAGTTGGTAGTGAGGCTAGAAATTGGACAAGGCCTCTGGTGGTGGGGGTGGGGGGTTTAACAGATTTCAATCCTGGCATAAATAGTTTTAGGTTTTGAAATCGAGATGAAGAAGCAATCCATCAACAAACCCCCCTCTTCCTCAAGATACTTATATAAGTAGAACTGTCTCTTGATCAGTTGATAGCATTTGATTTTCCTAGCTTGATGCCATGAAACTCAAAAGATGATTGCTTATTATCTTGTAATCAAAGGATTGTTTTTGTCAAGTGTCACTCAATGATAACTTCCTGACTCATTCTAATTTTAAAAGAGAATGCAAAGATTCAATGTGTGAATATATTTTTTAATCAACTGATTGAGAAATGTTTCTGCTTTCTTTAATTGCAACAATCCAACCCACAAGTAGTGTTGAAAAAGAAAAAAAAGAACAGAAAAAAAGAAAAAGAAAAACAAAAGAAGCAAACCCTACAAACTGACCTTCTCCATCCCCATCTCCAGCCTCTGTATCATCAGCCATGGGAATGTCAGGGTCATGGCTTGATCCATTTGTCTCTTCATGTTCTGACTCTTTTTCTGTGATGCTATTGTTGTTGTTGTTGTTGTTGCTGTTATTATTATTATTACTTGATGTGGTGGTGGTAGTGGTGGTGGTGGTGGTGGTGGTTGTAGTAGTGGTGGTGGTTGTGGCATTACAACTGGCAGCTTTTGGAGGTATGAATTCTGTCAACAACGAAGATCGTTGAACCTAGAATAGACAAAGAGATTGTTATAGAAAATCTAGCTACAATAAATTCAAAATTGGAATGGGACCCATGACAAATCACAACATTTATCCCACACAGGTCATTTTTTTTAGCCTTTGTTCATAACTAAATTATTTTTTTTGCTTAAATTTAATATTTTTACAATAACTAAAAACTGTTTTAAAAAAGTTCTAACATAAAAAAACGAAAAAAAACAAACAAAAAAAAACTAAATTTTAAAATTAGCACTTTATTATTGTTTGTGTCAGCAATAAATTTAGAGGCAATTATTATTCAAGTATTCAAACTCTTTCCAAATAAAAATATATTTACCCTAATTTCAGACAGATACTGTTGTACTATTAAAAATGAGCTGGTTGAACATTCAGTATTAACTATCCAAATAAACATAACTTTCCAATTTGTACTCTTTGAGAAAGGAGTGTTAGGAAATTTTGCCATGGAAATATTCATCAATTGACAATAGTTATAATGTGATTGATTTCAACTCAAAATCTACTTACTAAATATATCTACAAATAGATGTTGTTTCTTTGTTTAATGTAAAGGAGCTAAAGAAAGAATGAAAGAAAGAAAGAAGCAGGATTAGATTTTAATATCAATATGCAAATAAAATGGAGGAAAAGTACTTACAGGGAAAGGTTCTGGCCCTTCATGGATGATAAAACCTTCAATGACATGAGTCAATATATGAGGTTTAACAATAGCTTTTTGTTTCTCAACCACCACAGAATTATCAGGCATAGTAGGTGTGGTGTGATGTGGTTTCTCGGACACTTCCATAGATTCAACTTGCCTATTCTCCTGGCTGCTTACTGCAGGCTGGGCAATCTCCATGCTAGGTCTTTTCTCTTGCTTTTGTTCACCCACTGACTGTTTTGTTGGGGCTTCACTTAATGTCTTTTTCTCTGCTGTTTCTATCAAGGCCACAGTCTTTCGACCAGTTTCTACTTCAGAATCAGATTGGCTTTTTGGTAGACTGACAGTGCCATTTGTTTGACTTGTTGGCGTGGCTGGCTTAGAAAGACTTGTAGGTGTGCTTGGCTTTGTTTGTGAAGCTATTGATGACGGGTTGCTTTTTTTCGTTCGTACTTTTGTAGCCTGCTTGGGAGTAATGGTGGGTATATTCAGTTTGGCGCCTGCATGTTGCTGCATAGACATATTGGTGGGGTGGATTTTTGCTGTATTGGAACCTTTCGATGTTGAAGGAAGTATTGTAGAGAGACCCTTATTGCCTTGGCTGGTATTCTTGCTAGGAACACTGACAGTTTTGGCTTGAAGGCCACTTGTCATGTCTAGGAGTTTGGCACTTTTTAAGGGATTCATACTAGCAGGTTGCATTCCTGCTGGAGTGGCTGTGGGAGCAGGCACCATGGTCTGCTGAGGCAGGGGAGTAGCTGTGCGAATGTAGAGAGGCTGGCCAGCCAGGATCGTAGGTGACTGGGTAGCAAGCAATGGCTGATGAGTAGCCAAAGGAATGCCTTGCTGGAGACTAGCCATGGCCTGTAGCATGGCTGGATTGGTCAGCATTGGTTGGGAAGTAAAAATCTGGCCACCACTTGTTACCAACTGTGATTGACTGTTCATGCGTAAAGGAGATTGAGAGTTTATCAGCTGCGGCTGCGAGACGACAGTATGACATGCTGATTGTGACTTAGACTACAAAGAAAATAGAAAATTACAACTATTAAAAAAAAGTTCAAAATTGTGAAAAAAAAAAGTCAAAGATTTTAAAACTCATCAGCAGGAAATGGGTAAAATCAAAAATATCAAGAAGTAATTGCTATTTCTGATGAAAATTTATATACAAAGTACGAAATTAACCATATCTGTTTGAAAAAGTGTTAAGTTTATTTTTTGAAAAAAAAAAAAAAAAAGTTTCATTCCATAAAATGGAAATAAGACTTGAAAAATATTTTTTTACATACATATATACAACAATAAAAATATCTGAAATTCTGATAATTACAATTAAAAGACAATTTCACTTGTTTAATGTTTCAATATTTGTAAAATTCTCCTGAAGAATTAACACTTGTAACTTGAATAAAGGAGTTGAACTTGTTTTTAATATTATGAAATTACTTTTAACAAACTGTTAAAAGACTGCAGTTTAAAAAAAAAATGGTAAGTTTTCACTTGGACTTAAAAATTCAAACGAGACAAATTATCCAAATAACATGTAAAGAATGTGGAGTCATTATAAGGGAGGAAAAAATATAAATAAATGCCAAAATAGCCCAAGATTATTTTTTGCCCTCTTCAGGACCAAAACAATTTCTCTTCAAAAGTATTTGCACAATAGTTTAGGTGAATATCTGGAGGAAAAATATCTCACCTGAGAAACAAAGGCAGGATTGCCTGAACCACCTTGGCCAGGTAACACACCTGATAAAGAGAGAATATTTCCTGTTTGAAATAGACGTTGTAGCCACATGCTATTACTCACATAACAGCAGTTGGAACAGTGTCTATGGTTTCAAATAGCAACATTCAATGTAAACACTAATTTCAATAAAGATAACAGAAAAGTCACAAAGACATCTCTATTTAAATCTAACATCATTTTCTGATTAAAGTACCCTTAATAAGTTGCCTTGAAATTGTTTTGTAGCTTTTCAATTTGATATCATTCAATGTAAATTCAAATCTTTTTAATAATTTTTTAAATATTTCAATTTATAAAGTATTACAAGGTGAGTTACATATAAAAAAATGCCATAAATTACAAACAAAATGATGAGCAGAATATTTATTGATATTTTTCTTTCTTGCTTAGTAAATTAAGATTGGCAGCCACCATTAATCATCATCAGTTGTTGTTGTTTTTGTTGAGTGTTATTTTATATTTACCTATTTGTCCAACCAAAAGGGAAGGTACAGCTTGAGTGGAGAAAACTGGCTTCCCTCCAATGAGTGGAGTGGCCTGCCCTTGGCTGCTTCCTGCCTGAGACACAAGCCCTTTTGAACCATTGCTGCCTGTTTTTCCATTACCACTACTTGAAGAGGGAGCAGCAGAAGAGGTTGACACCTGAGCAGAAGAGGAGACACTAGTCTGTGAAGAGAGAAACACAGAATTTTCATGCAACACCCCTAACTTAGCACCTCCTTTTTAAATTTTTAGGGGTGAGGGTGAAGAGAAGAAATTACAAATCTTAACAAGTGCACAAAGCAATAGGATTTCAAAAGAACATTGAATGACAATAAATACAAACCAAGAGTTTGGAGAAGTTTCCTCATTTAAAAAAACCAAAAACAAACAAACAAACAAAACACACTTTTTTTAGTGCAAGTAATGATAATCTACCATCAAAGGACAATGGCTCAATTAAAAGAGGGGTGGGAGGTTGAGTAATAAGGTGTAGTCATCGAATCAAAAAGAAAACTTAACATTTGACAGAAAGGAGAATTTCAGGATTAACAAAATCAGGAGAATTTAACTGTCAAATGAGAGTTTTTTTGTTTTTTTTTATTTTTTTCCTGAAAACATTTCTTCTAAGCCAGAAGTTAACATACCATTAATGAAATAACAAACCCACAACCACATAATGAATTCAATTTTTTTAAAAACTGGTAATAGAATAAATGTTACTCAAAATAAATCTCTTTTCTTGCAGCTCTTTTCATCTTTTTATTAATTTTTGCTGCTTATCATAAAGCAATGCAAATCTTAAGAATATTGCATAATGACAATTGGAGAAAAGACCAGTCAAAATAGGAAAACAAAAATGAAAAAGGTTAATCTAAATGACCAATCCAAATTCAATAATTCCATAGTTATAGAAATATTTACAGTAAATTGGTGACAAGGTTAGTGCCTCAAAGATGAATTCTGGCTGGCTACACTTTTACCTACATCCTGTTCTACTATTATCTTGACCAGGACCATAGGTTATAATGGTAGACAGGGAAGAAATTGTTTTAAATATAAATTTCAAATAATTATTATCACTGCTAAATTTTGATATTTTTCATTCAAAATTTAGCAATGATAATAATTATTTAACAATTAAATTTGAAAATCCACTTGATTAATTCTTTACATTCATTTATCACAAAAAGTTAAATTAGTTGCATCTGACAAAACCAAAGATTAAAAAGTGAAATTATATATAGGATGTTTCCTGATTGCAAATATTTTGTATAAAAATGACTATTTTCACTTCAGTATTAATATTTCAAGTTTTTGAGTTGAAATTCATTAACCCCTGTTCATTACAATTATTTAGTGTATTCCTATATTTTTAAAATTGACAATAAATTATAACACTTTAGAAAAATAGTTGAAATTAGCAGTTCATCTTCAGCCTATTCATAACTGCTGAGTACTGTGGATTTTATGAGAAGTGGATGAACCAGTGACCAAGCTGTGCACATACACACGCTCTCATATATATACATATAGGTCTGAAGATCACTAGAGGCACAAAACTGGCTGTTAACTATTCACTGTTGATCTCCCTTGTCCACTGCCTACAAACACCAACTCTGATATTGAACACCCTCCCACCATAAATATAGTCAGATTTCAACTATGTCTTACTTTGAATGCACTGAGCAGCTAAGCTTTCAGTTGAAAATTTCAATGGAAAGGTTTGAAGTTTGTAGGGTAACTTGCCTCTATGTCTTAGTTTTGATTTTGTCAAGACAGACAACAAAAGACTATGGACAAAATTTTTTACAGCAAAATTTCTTTTGTTATACAAGGAACAATTAAAAAAAGTACACAAGAAATTGGCTCAAGTAAAAACACATTTGTTTAAACATGACTGATTTTGATATTTTCTTTCTGTTGTCTTTTTTGCTATCACATTATGGCCAATCTAATCTACAGCTTTCTTTAGGTGTACAGCAAAATGCAAAGCAGGAAAAAAAAAAAAAAATGGCAGCAAATTTATTGACTGAACCAATCCATGCAACATTGCTTTACAATCCGTTCCTTGCTAAGCAAAAAACAAAATTCATACAACAAAACTGACTTACACATTTATCCATAAAGCTAATTATGTAATTTCTTTTAATTTAATACAATATTGTAATAATCAAAGTACAGAATGAAAGTACTTCACAGTACAACAATTTTTTTTAAATTATCATTAACATATTCAAAATTTTAATTAAGTAAATAATTCATTTCTTTGATATTATCTACAATTTATTTATTGTTGAAAAGTTAAACTTTCAATCATATAGGTTATTAATTAAGGAATTATTTTAAGTTTTCAGTGAATGCTAAATACTAGAAATAATAAATACCTCACTCTTGATTAAGGGCATTTTTAAAATTTTACTAACATTGTGTAAAAAAGGACACTTAGAATATTTGTATTAACCTATATATTTGCAAAACAACTTAAAAGAAATATTAAACATTAATCTAAAATATGAATGGGGGTGAAAACTTATTTAAAATAAATATTCCAGGGATTTAATAGCACACATGCTAAAACATCAAAGTTCTCTTAGCCTTTTATAGAACACATTTTAAACATTTCTCAATTATATACAATATACAATTATAAAAGACAATTTTAAACATTTCTCAATTATATACAATATACAATTATAAAAGACAAAAAATATAGCCGTTCTTGATGTAAAGTGTCAATTTTCTGACATCCTACCAGTTAATTTGAAATCAAATCTCGTTACTTGCAATTTTTTTTTCTTTTCCTATTAACTGTATAATAATAATTATACACCTACTGCAGTGGCAGATAACCTAAAAAAGAAAGCAAATGCAATGGACCAAAGAAATAAACATTGTTCACACAAGCAAAACTCACACCCTACAAAGGGCTCTATATAAAATGTGTATGTTTTTAGGTTGTTTATTTTTATTTTTTTACACAAATGATTGGTGGAAAATGTTATGATGCCATTTCTGATTTTATTTTGAAGCAATGGAAGAGAAATGAAAAGAAAACCCTAACTCAACATGCAAAATCAGATTTGAGATATTTAAATTTCAAAACATTCTCATGATACAATCAACATTAATCTAACTGGAAGAAATGAGAAAACAACAATATAGAAGAATTTAACAACCACAAATATTTAAGAAAAGAATAAGACATTAAAGCTATTGATATTTGAAGGGAAATCACCCAATGTATAAAGTTTAAATTTAACAGAATTGTATAGTTTGGAGCTTTTATAGTTATTCATTATGTATATCATCAATTTTTGAGGAGATATTTCAGTTCATTTATCAAATTTTCAGTTAATTGAAAGCAGTTTTAAATGGTGTTGATTTCCTTTGGATAACGAATGATGAGTGTTCAGTTAAGCAAAAGCCTTAAAAAGAGAAAACAAATTTTTTTCATGCCTTTTAAATCTGACATTTCAAATAGGTATCACAAAGTACCTAATTTTGTAGTGCAAAAATAGTAAAATTTCCTTCAATTTTAACTGCATTTATTTTGATAAAAATTAGTATGTAAATATTTATTTTTTTCTCTTTATAAATTCTTTCTTGTGTGTGATTTCATTTTTATTCCACATCTCTTTCAATGACAGGTGGAACCTTTTCTGCATTTTCAAAGTTGACAATTTCATAGTAGTGTTTTAAAAGTTGTTGCATTTCAAATTGTGTCTCTCTCTGCACATCAAATTAATCCTATCTTAAAGAAAAGCAGCTCATCAAATTAGTGCATTTAAGATTGGATTTGAAGTTGACTTTCACAAAAAATTTATAAATTGAAAACTTTAGTGACTAAAATATAAATTCAATATTTAAAAACCTGAAAATTGCCCCTTCTTGTAGAGCAACATCTTGTTTATGATAACCAGATGGTTTTATATCTTTGCACCAATATAACTGAAGACACATGTGAATCAAAAGAGGGTGTAGTGCGTTCAATTTGTGCAAACCAATGGGTCTGACACATCAAAATTTGTATTGCTGGCTGATTGAATAAAAATTACCAGCTGAAGCCCATTTTAAATCAGACTTTTCATTGATGGTTATTACAATTTTATTCTTTTTTCTTAAAGTTTCTTTAATGATGCATTTTAAAATTGCATAAAGTACTTATTCATTTTATTTTGTCCAAACTGTCACACACAAATCACTTTTACCTGGACTGCTGTTTTTATGCATTTTCTTAAAAAAAAAACAAACTAAAAAAAAAAAAACAAAAAACATTAAACAGAATCCAAATTATAAAATAAAAAATAAATATATAAACTGGATATATTCTTGGGTTTTTACATCTCATACTCAGGCTTGTCTGCAAAAAATTAAAATAAATTTTTTTAAAAAGTGTCTAATCTTCCTTTTAATGGTCATTCATTTAATTTACATTTGTGGCTGGCAATATTTTCTCAAATTCTAGGGATTTGGTAATTAAAAAACAAACAAACAAACAAAAAAAACCTGGATACATTTTATAAAAAATTAACTGGATATATGCTTTGGCTTAAGAGTGGTGCATGGATCCATAAAAAACTGAAAATTAAAATCAGTTTCTTTTTTTTTTTTTTGTTTAAAATTCTAGAGATTAGGTCCTATTTCAGAGCTTAAAATGGAATTGTTACATTCCCTTAAAAAGGTGGAGAAAAAAAAAAAAAAAAAAAAAAAAAAAAAAAAAAAAAAAAGGAGGATACATTTTATAGTTCTTCAAAGTTTTCTAAATGCTATGTCCTTTTCAAAATTTTAGTTCCAACGAAGGCAGTAATTATTATTTTTGTTGGCATTTATTGGATGATACTGCACAAGTTGTGTCCACATTTGTCTTTAAATGGGACTTTGATATAATACACCTTTCAAGTGATGAGATGGAATTTTCCAGGAATATAAACAAGTTCAAACTGCAAATCACTGTCAGAAGGGAACCATTCCAACTGTCTAGAAAATCTTTTTCATCAGTTCCAATCAATATATATTTATTTATTTCAATTTGAAGATAAATGAGTTTAAAACTTTACCATAAGCATTTGTTTCAAGGGTTAACCAATAATTAATTCCCGGAAACAAGTTTTGTTGTCATTACTGTCACATTTTGACAAGTTAAAAATTGCATAATTTCCCAATTTTCCAAAATTAGATACATC